ATTCTGTTCATTATGTAGGTGTGGAAGGGCACACCTTTCCTTAAAAATGTAGATTTGGTTTTCCAAACTTGGTATTTTTCATACCCTTTCTCTCATTAGAATTAAGAGGACACTCCCCCTGATTTCTAATATACTCTGAATTGAGGAATCACCTTGATGACATTTGACATGAACGTTTTAGACTGCAGTTACTGTTTCTGTAAAGCAAATCAGGCAAGCAGCTCCAGCATTTATTGTCTTTCAGCAAGTAGCCAGATGATTTCCTGTGTAACAGGTATATAGGAGTGCAGGGTCTGGGAAAGGACACAAAGGAGCCTGTGTTGAAAGAATTCCTATTATCTGGAGCCATCTCATTAAAATGGCTTCAGCTCAACAATGAGATTCTTGGTAGGTGTTTGTTCAAAGGCCTAAAACATTATGCATGTGGGATTTTTGAAAACTATTAGTTGAGAAGGTGCTAAATATTGCAGAATCTTCAAATGACTGCCTTGAGCTCTCACCTTACCAGGGGAGTGCCGACTCTTAAGGAGTCTCATTCTTTTTCCTTGGAAATTGCCTCTTCCTATTACAGAACTCTAAATAAAGAGCCTGTCTGAGCAGGAGAAGTGAATTGAGTGAATAGAATGGAGAGTCCTATCTGGCTCCTGCACTTAAGGAAGTTGAATGTTAACTAAGAATCCGCCCCCTCCCCCTTCCTCAGTGGAGAAGTAGAAGTGGATGATTAAGCTGAGACCATTGGTAAACCCCAATGGGGCTGAGTGGAAAAGGTGAAGGGATTATACAAACAAACAATTTATAGGCAATCAACAAATAGTATGATGATTGCCAGAGGGAAAGGGGAGAGGGGGGAGGTAGAAGAAGGTAAATGGAGGATCAATGGTGATGGAAGGAAAACTGACTTGGGGTGGTGAACACAATATAATAAAGATGATATATTATAGAATTGTACCCCTGAAACCTATATAATTTTATTAATCAATGTCACCTCACTGAATTCAATTAAAAAAAAACAACAACCCCTGCCCTAGCTGGTTTGGCTCAGTGGATAGAGCGTCAGCCTGCGGACTGAAGGGTCCCGGGTTTGATTTCGGTCAAGGGCACATGCCTGGGTTGCAGGCTTGATCCCCAGTGGGGGATGTGCAGGAGGCAGCCAATCAATGGTTCTCTCTCATCATTGATGTTTCTATCTCTCCCTCTCCCTTCCTCTATGAAATCAATAAAGATATATTAAAAAAACAAAAAAACAACCCCTGCTGTTCATGAGAACAGATGACCTCTTAAATTTCATTGTATGACCTAGGGACTAAAATGTGAGAAAAGGAGATTATGGATGTTAGCATAATCAGGACATTGCTGATTATAAAAAGAATAAGTCAGTCTAATTTCTCACAGTTCCTTTCCAGTGTGATAAAAACTCTCTCTCAGACTTTCCTTGTCAGGATTTCAACTAGGGAAATGTGCATTGGACATCAACAATGCAAGCATTAAGCCCTGGGTGTTCAAAGATGAATGTGATCCAGCCCCTGCGCTAGAGAGTACTCGATCTCATAGAAAATAGCCATTGTTAATGTAAATTTTATGCACCAAAAGTATTTTTTGGTGATAATATTTGAGGCCCAGTGATCAAAAATACCTTCTCTATTGAAATTCTCACATAACTCATTCTCTGTGAGGCCGGGCTTGTGTTAAAAAGGCACGGCTGTCCACACCATGGGCAAAAACAGATTTTATATGGATTATAGATATAAATGTGAAACTATAAGAATTCTAGGGGAAAACATAAGAGAATATCTTAATGACCTCAGGGCAGGCAAAGATTTCTTAAATAGGACACAAAATATGCTAACCATAGACAGAAAAAAAGTGGGCAAATTAGGCTACATTAAAATAAAGAATTTTAGTTCATCCCATGATACCATTAATAAAATGAAGTCTATAAAATGGGAGAAGATTTTGCAATATAAATATTCAACAAAGGACTTGTGTTGATAAAATTGATAAAAGGTAGATTACCCAAAAAGAATATGGGAAATAGACTTGAGTAAGGTGACTTGGAGTAAGAGGATGTTGGTTGCCTTGATTGGAGTTAGTGACTGGAAGGGAGCACAAGAAGCTTCTGAGATCCTGGTCATAATGTCTGTTATGTGGGTGTGTTTACTTTGTGGAAGTCCTGCAAATTATGTACTTTTCTGTAATTTCATTGAAAGTGTTTACATAACAAAGAAAATGCCTTGTTTCCAGGAGGAACAAAGTATTCTCAGAGGTTAACACTGACTGCAAATTATCCCTCCTCATGGAGCATTGCCTCTACTGTGAAAGCAAAGGAAGTGTTGAGAGCATGGGTTTTGCAAGGTGGCCAGGGCAGGTTCAATTTGTGGAATCATCCTACACACAGAGTGGTTACAATATCCTAAGAAAGGAGGAGGAAAGACCATTTATGGAGGAAGCACTAGAAATAAGGTTGATTGCTTTACAATTTGGGGCATGGCTGACTCAGCCTGTAATCCTGTTTAAGCCACCATTGATGGATCACCTCTCATGTGTCCGGGTGTTGAAACAGGCACTTTCTGTGCATTAAAATGTTTGATCCTTACCACAACCCTGGGAGGTAGGCACTATGCTTATCCAGATTTGCAGATGAAGAAACTGAGGCTTAAAGAACCTGCTCAAGTTCTAGCTGGAACATAGCGGCAAGCTGCAACTGGAACCCATGTCTGTGTCATTTGAAAGCTCACTCCCTTTATATGTCTGTTATGTTGCCTTTAAAAATTGTATTTGATTGAGCATACTGACAAGAAAAAAATACATAATATATGTAATGTTTAAATTTGATGACCAGAAACACTTTGAAATCAATTTTAAAGTCTGAGATTTACTGCACTACAGGTTTTTTAATGAACTGGAATTTTCCTTTTCTGTTGTAACATGATTAGGAATAACTGGATACGGGGTGGATGGAGGACTGAGAAATCATCCAGGAAACAAGTCAGATTATTATAGGAATGCCCTTGTATGGGTGACCCACGAGCCCTTCTCTGTGCGTTAGGGACATTTTAATAATCTGAGCAATTGCCTTTGATAGGCATACTTTGTTTTCTGCTTATTAATGACTCCCTAGGCTAGATTTTATTTCTCTTACCACTAATTCAGATACAGAGATAGATTAAATGGATGCTGCTAACTGATCGCTACATCACTGTCTGCATATCAATGCTCTGCCTGCTTGGGTATGAAGAGAAAGAGAGAAGGAAAAGGGCAAGCCAGATATTCGTGGTAGCTGAATTTGTTTTAAAAGACAAATTCTGGAACAGAATTGTGAGATATACAAATTATTGATATTTGTGCATGGTTAGCTTTTTGGGATTGCCCTACTTAGCATACACATGTCTTTTTTCCTTCTTCTGATACAGAATGGCTTTGTGTACACTCAGGTAGATATATAATATTTTGAGTTCTTTTGCTGCTGTTTTTTTTTTTGCTTATTTGTTTGTTTGTTTTCAGGGCCTTCATGTTTGCAGCCTATGGAGTGTTTATAGCGTTGGAATAATATCACATCTCTAAATGAAATTTGGAGATGTGGAAATTATTCCAAATGTGTCTCCCCAACAATCCAGTCAGTGGCCATGGAAGCAATATGGTGGAAAGGCACATGATCTGATTTGAATAGAAATATATATGGGTATGGTTTTAGAGCTTTCTGTTTACTAAAAAAAAATCTCCCTTCTTTATCCTTGGGGCTAGTTATTCCACGTTTATTGCTGTGTAATACACAAGAAAGAAGCACTATACAAGTTGAAATAATTGAAAACACCCACATCCAACTCAATTTATTTTATTTGAATCCATCTAGTTACATGGACTTGTTTGACATACTGCAGATGCTTAAAAAACCTGGACAGGAGCTCTGGATTGCTTTTCTCTTATTTTTGAAATGTAGAACTTCTAGTTTAGAAGTTGATTCCTCTTCAGAGAATATGTAATTATTTATTAATTTGATTAGCTCTGTACATTGTGCTTTGAAGCAATTCAGAGTACTGTAGGAGCATCTGTTGTAACGTCATTTGGAGGCTGCTACATTTCAGAAATAGCCCCCAAATGCTTTGATAATACCAGTTTGACATAGATCAATAGAGGCAGTGCCACGGTGCTGCATAAGGATTCTTTGTCTTGGCTTAGTGTTGGTAAATTGATACTCTCAAGTATATAACCAAGGTGGTCTTTTTGAAGGAGGGTAGCTTTTTATTGAATTTTGGTTTTCCTCCTTCCTTGAAATAGTGACAACTGTCATTTTCCTCCTTCAAACAATAGCATCAGTGATTTTGTAAATAGAAAATCATTTTCCAGGCAGGATTATGTCTATGCTGGCAACCATTTTATACACATGGCCTCATTTAAATGGCCAGGACTTCAAATGTGTAAATGGACAAGTTTTTAGGCAATTTGGTTAGGCTTTCCAATCTCGCCTCTCCATTTCCTGTCTAAACAACTTCTCCCATGTCCACAGCATGTTTATACAACATTGAATAAAACTTCTAATGGGAAATTTCTTCCAGGTGACCTCCCTGAGAGGCTGGATGTGAAGAAACCTTAAGAAACCCGACCCTGATGAAATTGCCTCCGTTGAGAATATTACTCGGTGCAGAAACAAGGAACAGAATTTAGTTATTTTTGGTTCTTGAATAAATGAATTCTGTTTCTTTTTGTGTAGGTGGCAGAAAACATTAACCCCTGCATAAGGTCCCGTCTCAGTTGGAAATTGAACTTTTGGTTTCTTTGAGTCAGTAGAACCTTTGAGAAAATAATGTTAAATTGTTTTTATTTGAACTTCAAGCAAGTTGGAATCGGCTCTGCTGTCTGCCTATCTTTTATAGAAGTCTTTTTTCTAGGGTTGTCTGTCTTTACATCTAATTTTCTGGAGGCGGAGACTGTGATTATCAAGTGACCTCCCACTCAGCACCACATGTGGGTGGATACTAATAAATCCTTTCTTAACCTTCTAGCACTTTTGGAGAAATCAATCAGTAGAAGGCGGGACACTGAAGCCATACAGAAAGCCAAAATCCTTTATTCATCTTGCATGAATGAGAGTGAGTAATCTATGATAATAAAAGCATAATATGCTAATTATACCAGACAGCCAAACGTACTTCCAAATAAAGCCGCAGCAGCTTCGAGGGCCGAGGGCAGGCAGCCGTGGTGGCCGGCAGCGGCAGGGTGATGGGGGTGGCGCCTTCCCCTGATCAGCCAGGTTGCCTCCCGCAAAGGGAGGCCAGAGTGGGGAGTGGGCCTAAGCCGACAGTAGGACATCCCCTGAGGGCTCCCAAACTGTGAGACGGGGCAGGCTGGGCTGAGGGACTGCCCCTCCATGCATGAATTTTCGTGCATTGGGCCTCTAGTAAATCAATAAAGAAATAAAGAAAAATAAAATATTTAACACCCCTATTCTTCAGAGTTCTTTTAATGTTTAAAGATATTATTTAAGAAAAGGAACAATTCTCAAAAACTGGGTTTTGACTAGCCCTGCCCTGTCTTAATGTTCTCTTGCTGGTTTGATGGAGAAAATGATTCTATTTCTATGGCTTGGATTCTTTAGGTATCAGTTACTCTATGAGACATTTGGGTGGGATCAGAAGGTCAAACCCCACTATATGTGGTACAGAAACCAGAATCTAGAGGCCAGGTCTGGTCTGAGAAGGAACCTGGGAGAGAGGGCACTTGGGAGTATTGCTAGTCCCCTAAGGACCTACTGGGGCCTAGAGAAATCCAGATTCCCAGGCAGGCCAGGCTCCTGCTTCTCCATCAGCCTGAGAGTAATCTGTTGGTTGTCTTAGGCATGTCTCCGTATCTTGGGTCTGATTGGAGTTAAAAGAGATACATAATTTTATCTCGTCTGCTCTTTCAAGGTCATTGCAGAAAGAAGCCAGTGCTTCTGGGAAGTGTGTTAACTTGTTTAGGATTTTGGGTATTATTCAGTGAGCTAGACGAGAGCAGAAAAAGTTGATGAAAAAGACTGAAGCATTAGTTCACTTTTATTGGGGTGTGATTGGTTTTATTGAGCAGTTGCTTTTACCTAGGGTTGTTCCTTAGCATTGCAGAGTATTATCAGCCTAACATCGCCCATTGCCTGGGGTCAGTGTAGTAAGTCCATCTTTCATAGTAGGGAATATCCAGCAGGTTCCCTAGTCAGCTCTCCTGGCAAGAATACCAGATTTAGACAGTGACATTGCTGTGTGAGTCATAGGTAGCTCTGTCTCTGGTTATCTTCAGTCTACGGCACCTCTCCATAACAGCTGAAATGTTAAGTTGGAGTCTTACGGGAATTTTCTCCTGAGAAGATACCTTTGCATTCTAGCTTGGAAATCCAGTTTGCAATTCTAACTCTCCCTTAATCTTTTTTCCCTTTCAGAAGCGATCGAAAAGGCAGATGCCAAGCCATTGCTACACATCCTGCGGCACTCACCTTTTCGCTGGCCTGTGCTCGAGTCTAATATCGGTCCTGAAGGGGTTTGGTCAGAGAGAAAGTTCAGCCTTCTTCAGACACTTGCAACGTTTCGTGGTCAATACAGCAATTCTGTATTTATCCGTTTGTATGTGTCCCCTGATGACAAGGCATCCAATGAACACATCTTGAAGGTATAGTGAAGACTTGGTCATCCCGTTTGTTCTGTCCAAGGTTAGCTTTTTGGGGTGCTTCCTAGGGAAAGAGACTCATACTACCTTAGTGAAATGATAAGGAAAAATTATGTTAAACATTAGGATCTAGAGCAGTGGTTCTCAACCTTCCTAATGCTGCGACCCTTTAATACAGTTCCTCATGTTGTGGTGACCCCCAATTTCATTGTTACAAGTTAAACATAATTAAAGCATAGTGATTAATCACAAAAACAATATGTAATTATATATGTGGTTTCCGATGGTCTTAGGCGACCCCTGTGAAAGGGTCGTTCGACCCCCAAAGGGGTCGCGACCCACAGGTTGAGAACCTCTGATCTAGAGTATTACCCCCTTCACAGATGTGCAGACTGTAAATCATGAACAAACCAGTTTTATTAGCCTTTTAAGAAGCTAGTGAGCAAGTTAATTTCAAGTGATCTGTGATCTGGCCCTCAATGTCTACTCTAAGCATGTGTGGGCACCTAAATTCCAGTGGGAAGAGAGCTGCAAAGACTTCCTTCTTTTTTTTTCATTTAGCATGTTCTTTTTTTATTTTTTAATTATAGTTGACATTCAGTATTATTTTATATTAGTTTCAGGTGAAGAGCATAGTGGTGAGACACATATAATTTGTGAACTGATCCCTCAATAAGTCTAGTACCCACTCTGCACCATACATACTTATTATGATACTAGAGCCCTGGTGCAAGAGATTCGTGCACTCTGGAGGGGTGGTCCCTCAGCCCAGCCTGCGCCCTCTTGCAGTCCGGGAGCCCTCGGGGGATGTCCAACTGATGGCTTAGGCCTGCTCCCTAGCCTTAATGCTGCCATGGAGGCGGGAGAGGCTCCTGCCACCGCTGCTACGCTTGCCAGCCGTGAACCTAGCTTCTGGCTGAACGGGCACTCCCCCTGTGGGAGCACACTGACCATTAGGGGGCAGCTCCTGCATTGATCGTCTGCCCCCTGGTGGTCAGTACACATCATAGTGATCAGTCGTTCTGCAGTTTGGTCGATTTGCATATTAGCCTTTTATTATATAGGATTATTGTGCAAAGACTTTCTGAACTCTCTTCTTCCCCTCACCTTCTCATTCCCCTGACAAAGGAGAGAACACATGCCATGATTCCTTGTTCTTCCATCACTAAAGTCTTCTTGCATATATGCCTAAAATTTCATTGTCAAATTCAGTATGAATCTCTTCCTTTCCTTTCATAAGATAAAATGAAACTTGTTCCAAGTGCTTGGCTTGCATTTTCTATTGGGAGAGTAAGCATCCCTTCTCTTCCAAGGAATGGGCCACACAGACATACCTTGACACAGATTGGTAAAATCAGGAGACTACCAACAATGAAAGATTCATTAATAAAAGAGCTTGGCAAGACTTCAAATAACATTTCTCAAAATGTTTTGCTTTGATTCTACCATTTTTTTTGCCTACTCAGTTACTTTGACTAATAATGAAAATTTTATTGAGCTACTGCTTCCTCCCTCACAGTTCTGTCCTTTTTTGAGCTAGAAAATATTAATAATATATTTATATTCAAATCAGAAGTATAAAACTTTTAGAGTGTGTTACCCTTTCCTGATATATCAACTTTTTAAAATCCACATTCTGGAATTAATTTGTTTTATTTTTATTTTTTGTTAATCCTCACCTGAGGATATTTTCCCATTGATTTTTAGAGAGAGTGGAAGAGATGGGGAGAGACACAGAGAGAGAAACATTGATGTGAGAGAAGACACATCAATTGGTTGCCTCCCGCATGTGCTCCAACCAGGGCTGGGGTTCGAGCCTGCAACCAAGGTACATGCCCTTGACCAGAATCGAACTTGGGACCCTTCATTCCACCGATAGATACTCTATCCACTGAGCCAAACCAACTTGGGCTAGAGTTTATTTTTTTTTTTTATTTATACCAAGCAGCTGGCAATTTTTTTCTGGAAGGTATCAGATATAAATATTTTGGGCTGTGTGAGCCATGGCATCTCTGTCTCAACTGCTCAACTCTGCTTTTGTGCCTGGGAAAGCAGCTGTAGACATGAGTGGGTGTGTGGCTGGTTGGCCTGCAGGCTGTAGTTTGCCCATATCTACCAACAGTGGAAGTCTTTAGACACTGAAAGAATTCCCATCTACTCAAGAGAAAATTCTTAGTTCCAGTGACAGCTGTTATTTCCATGTTGGGTGATAAACAACACAGCACTGACACATATTCTAATGCTGTCAGGGCAAGGCATGCTGTGCAAGACACAATGATGGTAATGGTCCAATTGACCTCTGCCTTGTGTCAATAGATTACTCTCTTTTAAAACAAACAGAACAGCTTATGAACCCATCAACAGCCTGATGTTCTCCACCCCTGTCTTAGAGCATGACCAGGCAACTGGTCAGAACCATTTGGTTCAATTTTTGTAACCAACATAACACTCAGATTTCAAATTCAGGTATGTGAGAAATGGGCATTTTCTTTAGTCAATTTCATCAATGACTGAGCTCCCACCCCACCTTTTAGTGGGAAATTGAACCAGTCTAGTCACTTCCCTACCTCCTGGTTGCCCCATTTCTCAGCCTTCTTCTTGGCTACTGGGAGATCCTCCAATCATCAGTTACCTGTTTCTGAAAATAAACCCACTATCCCAGTTCATGTTGCCCTTCAAGTGTGCGTCTCTGCTGCTGGGGCCCTGGGCCCTCACTCCCTCTCAGATCCTGCCACTTTCTAGGGACATTGATTGGTCCCTCTGCTCAGGAGACATTTTGACTTCTTTGGCTACCTAGAAGAACCTCTTTTTGCTTTGGGAGAAGTCTCCCTTACCTCAAACCATCCTCCCTCAATGTACTTAGACTTCCTTTTCCTCTGTGGTGAGATGGTACAGGATTTATCACAGGCTTAAAAGGTAGAAACATACAGAAAACAACAGAAGTTGATGCCCCCAATCCTTGTTACATGTATTTGGGTTTATTTATGTAAGAGGATAACAAGAATGAAGATTTAAGGGATAGTGAAATACTTGAATATATGTGATCATGAGGGTTTGGAAGGCCAGGGTTGTCTCATCAGTATGTGTTACTGAAACATTGACTTAAAGTCATCATCACTCAGTGGCCTGCTTTTGTCTGACTCATAGCAAAATCCGAAAGTATGACAAGGACAGCCTCTCTTAGAAATGACGTTTTTCTCATTTCTTTGTCTGTCCTTTTCTTATATCATAATTTGTCAGATGCTTCTTTTTTTATTACTACTTTGCTTCCTAACCTGAGGTTTATTGCAGTTGGAGAAAAACAATTCATATTTCCATTCAATGTGTTGGGTTTCCCAAACAGATATTTTATTTTCAACTTGCAATATTCAGACATAAGAATTTAAAAAAAACAAACAAACCTCAAATAACATTGTCCTAATGTTGGCCTCTTGAGAAAGTCTTTTGCCTCAAGACTTTGTATGTTCCTAATGAGATTTAGTTGACAGACCTTATTTAATCTGTTTTGTGTATTTAAAATGTTCCCTAGAAACCATAACAATGTGACGGTTTAAAAAAGGTCAGGTAACTTCATTTTAATCATTGAGACTTTTACAATAAGTGGATTAAACTTCATTTCATCAGAGGGAAGCTTTGGCTCCCTTAATGTTGTCTACTCAATTTCCTTTCCTATGAGACTGAAGATCAAAAGATTCTTGAAGTGGTCCAAATCTAATTGAAATCCAAAACATCTTAATCATAATATTGTGTTTTGTGGTTCTGGCTTGCTTAAATTTTGGAAGAAATGGTGGTAGATTGGGAATTGCATTATGATGAAGCCAGGCTGGCCTGTGACTTGGTTGTTTTGAGCCAATTAGAGAAAAAGATTGAACACAAAAATTTGAGGGTTTTAGTAATACACACAGACAAAGTGAATGTTATGGAAGCATCCCCCCCACCCCCCGCATTGAAACAAGAGCAGTATTTTTCTTAAAATTTTCATGACTTTGCTAACTCTTAATTTGGCCTTTGTAGAATTTGTTGCTTATAAAGAAGATTTTCATGGAAAACTATAACCCTATACATAGAAAATATTTAAGCTTATAGTAAAATGAAGAAGAAAATAGAGATAGACCCAAGCAATCTAGCATTGTATAAACTAATGATATAGGAATATGGGATCCGGTTTTTATTAAGATGCTACTAATTTTTTATTTGTCTTTTAGATTTCATATCCTGTTAATTTGACCTAACATTTTTATGTCTGAATCAAATTTAAATGAGAAAATCTGCTGTTGGGATCCACATAATTTAGCCTTTAGGCAGTTGTTGACATTCAAGAAAAAAATGACCATAGATTTAGAGAAAGTTCTTTATAAAATTTCATTTTTAAATTTAATGTCATTAAATTCATTTTTTTGTGATGCATGTGTCTATAAGTTTTGACAAATGCAGAGTCATGTAATCACCGTCATAATTAAGAAATAAAATAGTTTCATCACCACCACCCAAAATTACCTCATGTTGCCCCTTTGTAGTCAACCAGTTTCCTCATCCCCAAACCCCGTTCTCTTTCCCTGTAGTTTTATCTTTTTCAGAATGTGATTAAAATTTTCCCATGTTAAGGCAAGTGTGCAGTAAACCTGATTCAGGGCCGACAGTGCCCTACAACAACATAACCCAGGGCCAAAGGTGGAATCCCGCGGCCCAGTGAGGAATCGGGCTCCCTCCTCTCTGGTTGCAGGGTGTGTCACCCGAGAACCACTGCTGCCAAGTCACTGCAGCTTGGCAGCTCCTGCATTGAGCATCTGCCCCCTGGTGGTCAGTGCACATCATACCTACTGGCCAGTCGGATGGTTGCTAAGCCTTTTATATATATAGATTAATTATTGTATTTTCCATTTGAACAACTGTAAACCCATTTTTGCCCCATCCTGCATGTGATTTTTAAATATTTTCTCTGTAGCTTGTCTTTTTGTTCTCTTTCACAAAGCAGTGTTTTTTAATGTTGATGAAGTCTAATTTATTTTTTCTTTTATGGATTGCAATTTTGCTGTCATGTCTAAGAATTCTTTGTCTAACCTCAGGTCACAAGATTTTCCCTTCTAGAAGTTTATAGTTTTTAGGTCTTGCATTTAAGTCTATGATTAATTTGGATTAATTTTTGAGCTATGGGTGGACGTTCTTTTTTTTTTTTGCATATGGATGTCGAGTTGTTCTAGCATGTTCTTGGAAAAAACTACCTTCTTCCCTTTGATCACCTTTAAAGTGCTGAAAGTGTTAATTCCAATGATTATGCTATACTTTTCCATAATAATTCTAGTTATTTTGTTTCCTATTATTTGTATTTTTATCACCTATCCTAACTGTCCAGGGAGGGTTCTAAATTTGTTAAGATTTCTCAAAATTATAATTTAAATCAATCCAACACAGTATTTTAGGGGCGGGGAAGTGGACAGTCTGTTCCATCCAGATGGGCATTTTGCAAAATACTGCGTGAGAGGAGTTCTGGATCTGGCAACAAGAGACAGTGATTCTATGAGCTCTGCTCAACCATGTTACCTTGGAAAACTCACATCACTTCTCTGGCATTTGTCTCCACCCATCAAGTAAGGGGGCAAATCAGATAATCTCTAAGAACTATTCCCATTCAAATATCTTTGAGGTTATTTACTATTGATAGAACCTTGAAAGGGGTAGAAGCCATGAATTGGGGAAGCAGAGGCAGGTCTCTGATACTTCATAATATCTATCATTGCTGAAGTGTCTATTTACTGGTAGATCTGAGTATACTGAGTTGTTTTTGTAATGGTAACACAAGCTCAAAATATGACTGGGATTCAGATCTCATGACTCTTCTTAACATGGTACATAATAATTTACAGTGCAAGCAAAATACTTTGTTTTTATTTCAACAGCTGGACCAAGCAACGCTCTCCCTAGCTGTGAGGGAAGACTACCTTGACAATAGCACAGAAGCCAAATCTGTAAGTTTTATATTTCAACTCTGCACCTTGTCAGGCTGTTGATGGGTTCATAAGTTGTTCTAGAATTTCTGACACTACTGGAAATGAGCAGTGTGGCATTTTTTTTTTAAGAGAGAGTGGAAGAGAGAGGGAAAAACAGAGAGAAATATCGATGTGAGAGAAACACATCAATTGGTTGCCTCCTGCACGATCCCCGACCAGGGCCTGGGCCGGGGAGGAGCCTGCAACCTAGATACGTGCCCTTTTCCAGAATCGAACCCGGAATCCTTTGGTCCACAGGCTGATGCTCTATCCACTGAGCCAAACTGTCTAGGACAGCAGTGTGGCTATTTGATGACCGTATTTCCAATTAAGGAACTAAAGGCTTTTTATTCAGACATAAATGGCACTTCTAGAAGTCTGGGTATCAAGGCTGTACAAGTCGCCATGCTCAGTGCTCTCATGTTGGAGCTGGGGAGACAGCACACCCAAATGAAGTAACTAAGAAATTAGCTTGCAGTCATTCCTCAGAAGTACAGAGAGCTCACTACACATTTCAGAAGTAATGTGTGGGGAGGGATACCCTCTCAAATAATGATTCTTAAATTGTACTGCTTAAGAATCACCTGGGATTCTATTAAATGTATGATTCTTGGGCCACAGCCCTGGAGAATCTGATTTAGTAGACTTGAAATAGAGCCCAGGAATCTGTTTTCTTATCAGGTTGCCCCAGATTAATAAGAACCAGATGGGATCAACCAGGTTATATTTTTTGGGTTGACTGGGAAACCTACATTTTTTTTATTTTTTATATTGGACTAGAGGCCCAATGCACAAAATTCGTGCAAGAGTAGGCCTTCCTTCCCCTGGCTGCCAGCACCGGCTTCCCTCTAGCACCCAGGACCTAGGCTTCCCTCACAGCCCCACTTTCGTCCAGAAGGTCGTCCGGAAGGACATCCGGTCTAATTAGCATATTATGCTTTTATCATTATAGATTAGAACTGGTTCATTCATAATACTTTCAATTCATTTTGGAAACTTTGTTGAATTTCCAAAACAGCCTCAGACCCAGGGTCTCCTCAATCAGGGAGCTCTCTGGTTTCTGGCCCAGCCTGAGAATGCAGGAATTTAGACTGGGAAGTGCTAGCTCACAGAGTAAGTCCCTGCTCCTTTGCTGATACAAGACCCTATATCTAGAAGGCTCTGGAGGGCAGGAAGGTAGCCAAGATCCTAAGCAATCTTTTGGCTGAGGGCAGTCATCAAAGAAGGTTGGCAAGTTTTCCTTCTTGAAAGTGGATGGAATGAACTTCAAAAAATATTTTTAATCCTCACCTGAAGATAGGTTTTTTATTTATTTTTTATTGCTTTTAGAGGGGGGGTGGGGAGAGAAAGAGACAGACATCAATGTGAGAGAGAAACATTGATAGATTGCCTTCCGTATGCACCCCGATAAGGGATTGAACCTGCAACCTAGTTATATGACCTGGCCAGGAATTGAACCCCCAACCTTTCAGTGTATGGGACAATGCTCCAATCATCTGAGCCACCCAGCCAGGGTGAAAGTGGATGTAATGAACTTTTCAGTCTGGGAGCACCTCTGCTTCTGCTGGGGTCACCACCCTATCAGCAACTAGACTTGAAATCATTTCCCCCTATAACCAATCAGTCAAGTCCTGTGGATTCTACCTTCAAAATCTCTCTTCTACCCGATCCCTCCTTTCTATTCTTACTACTCTAGTTCAGGCCCTTGGTAACTCTTGGCTTTATTACAGCAGATAGCATTTTGATTGTTACCTTCTTCCCTCCATTCCATTCATTCCCTTCATTGCCTCTGTAGTACCACTTGATCAATTCTCTTCTTAGTGCAGCTCACATCATACTTTTGCTCACAAGGCAGGATATAAATTCCTCATTGGGAGTTCAAGGCCTCTTTATGACCTGGTCCCAAACCAGCTTTAATGTGCCATCTATTTATTTCCCCCCTCAGCAAAGGCAGCTCATACATCTCACAGGAGGTCTCCTCACTGCTCCTGAACCTGTCTCCTTCAAACATTATGTCTCCGATTTCTCCAGGCTGGAATTCTTTTCCAGCTCTTTAATCTTCAAGCACTTAGCAGCTTTATTAAAGAACTTACGTTGGTCTCTCTAATATTAAAGTTTGTAATTACATGTTTATCTCTCTTACACACTGAGAACCAGATCACACACTGGGAAATCAGACTTAAGTATTATTTAATTTTTCATCTGTACCCCCCTCATATGCACAGAATGCCTAGCAAGACATCTGCACATGTGTTGATTAATTAAATATTTTTTAATCAAACTGGGAATTGCAAAAGATTGTTTCTAATTGAGTCTATTTGCAAAGCTTGCTTACTGATTCAACAAATATTTATTAAGGGCCTGCTATATGCCAAGCACTGTATAGGTTCCAACATCATAAACACAGTAATAATAGCTTACAGATTCAAGGTGTATGTGAGGAAATCTTATTCCTAAAGCATAACTGTGAGATTATTTAATACCTAGTATATTGAGTTCTTACAAGTATATCTGAAAGGAGAAATATGACCCCCAATGAGATTCTGCAGTTCCCACAAAATAAGGTTCTCCCCTCCAGGAATATGTGTCATGAAAATGGGTTTATGGACATGCAGGGAAGACATTCTGTATTTGCTCTTTGCTCAGTTTCACTTCATCATTTCTCTCATCTCTCCCTTCTTTTTTTCCTGAGGGAGTGAGGAGAACTTTGTAAAAACTGTGCAAAACTAGAAAGACCTAGGGCTGCAGTTGATGGTCTTTTATTTTTTTTTTTTAGTGTGAAGGTGGGAAAATGGAGCTGGAAGAGAATAAATCACTGTTCCCACTAGTCTTCATGGATCATGCCTTCTGCTTTTAGCAACAGCTCTTTCCCATTATTTTATTAAGCCTCTCTTGCCTGGAAAGAGGAGTCTGACCTTTAACTTTCTATTCTGGGCTCATTTGGAGATGTTTCACATATCCATAATATTGTCGGTTGCTACAAAACTAGTTCTCTTGATTCTCGGTAGCTGGACATTTCTGCCTCTCATGGAAACAGTATCCAAGGAGCTGTCACTCTTCTTTCTCCCAAAGTGGTAGGTGGGTGTTTGGTATCACATAATGACTGTACTGTACATTGAGTACAAGTGAAAATGAAGGGAATTTATTTCCACCTGCTGCTTCTGCTCCCCAATGTCTCTGAAACATACTTTCCAATAGACTGTTGTCATGGTCACTTGCTTCTTTATCTTTTACAGTATCGGGAGGCCCTTTACAAGTTCATGGTGGATACTGCCGTACTTTTGGGTGCTAATAGCTCCCGAGCAGAGCATGACATGAAGTCAGTGCTTAGACTGGAAATTAAGATAGCTGAGGTAAGACTTAATCTAAAATTTATTTTTTTATTTTCTTTATTTTAAAGGCACTATATCCTGAATGAAAAAAATATATAAAATAGCATTCTGTAACATTGTCCTTTGGGTCCAAGGTATAACTAATAGCACCTCCTCTGGAAAGTCTCAACTATGGCCAAAGACTCTCTGACTATATTTTCCAAGAGAAACTCCTGTATGGCTCCAATAGAAGAATAGTTATTTAATGAATCCTTATTGATTTGGTTTGAGTGGAAGGTAATTTTTAAAATATATATATTTTTATTGATTTCAGAGAGGAAGGGAGAGGGAGAGAGAGACAGAAACATCAATGATGAGAGAGAATCATTGATTGGCTGCCTCCTGCACGCCCCCTACTGGGGATCGAGCCTGCAACCTGGGCATGTGACCTTGACCAGAATCGAACCCGGGATCCTTCAGTCCTCAGGTCAACGCTCTATCCACTGAGCCACACCAGCTAGGGCTGGAAGATAATTTTTTACCTAACCTACTCTTTTCCCATTGCCACTCAGGGTCAGCCTGACCTAAGATAGGGACTTAGAGAAGTCTGTCCCACCATATTGGATACACAAATTTGATGTACAAGTGTATAGGGTGAGCATTTTTAGCTGCCTTTCTGGTACTACTTTGTATCCAGCCCTGTTTTTTCATTCTTTTCTTGCCCTGTTTTAATGAATCTCATTGCGTTACTATGTTCTGTGTAGGTCACCTTAAATTCTTCCAGGCTAATGCTGGGAACAAAAAGATATAAGAACCAACTTAAGGGAGAGTGAGAAATCCTAAATGGTTAGCTTTCTTTATAGAATAACTTCTTTTTCCTAGAAGAACCAAAGTGTAAAACCCCTATACATTCCCAAACCAGAGAGAACAAGTATCGTGAGATCTGTTTGTTGGGATACTTTGCTGTGTGGGAAAAAAAACTTTTGTCAAGAAACACTTGTATATGGGTTGTTAGTCTTTTATAACAAGTTGCTAAAAATCCTAAAGTTCATGTGACTCCAAGTGTTGCTTGGCTTGTGTTTGGTGAAGTACAGTGGGATTTTGAGGTATGGAGTTGGGGTGATGGAGAAGGTGGAGGAGGAATTAGTCTTTCTCTCAGCAGCAGTGATGTATGTGTGGACCTCTCTCCAAACTTCTACTTGCAGCACAAAAAGTCCATTCCTGCATGTCACCTTTGAAGACTGTGTGATGAAGGTCACTGCAGATGTTCTGGAGTCAAAGACTGTGCCTCTAAGCCATGCCTAAAGGCTGTCTGGATTCCCTTCCTAGGCAAATAGGAGACCCAGAGCTCTAATTTGGACTGAAGCTCTGATACATCAGGGAAGGCCTTGTTCTGAGCCAGGGATTTAGACCAAAAAGGGAACTAAAAACAGCTGGGCTGAGGCAAGACTGGGAATTGTCAAGAGGCTAAATGAAGTGACAAATCCATGGGATGGGGAGAAAGCTAGCAGAGTGCTCAAAACAGCTTTGAGGCCAAAGGGCTCCAACCTGGGGCTGCAAGCCTGAGTAGAGGGAGGAGTGGACAGTCTGAGGCAATGATTCAAACAAAACCTCGAAGATGTTTGTGAGACACATGAAGTCTCTCCTGTGGAGGGTGACAGGGGGAAGCTAAGGGCACTGAATCATTTAGAAAAGAGGGGTCAGATGTCTACCACTCAGCCCTCTGTGTCTTTGCCTTGAAACATCCATGGCACATGATTTTTGGCATACTAGTAGTGCGCACTTCTGTCTCTTACACCCCAGGTCACTGAGGACATTCAAAATTAGTGGGAAATAGAGTTCTAGGGAAACTTCTGAAGCTTCCCTCGGGTGGCAGGACAGCTTAGTCCAGCACAAATAAGTCATTTTAAATACAGCCATGGAAGTGTGCATTTGACCAATCCCAGATAGAGGTGTGTGCACCAGGGCAGGTCTTAGTGATGGAGTGGCCCCTGTGATTGGAGGCAAATGGAGTTTAATGGCAAGATTTGACAGAGGAAATGAATCTAGGCAGTCTGGAATCATAGTTCCAACCCTGGGCGTGGTGGTTGTGAATGGGGGTGTAAGAGTAGGAGAGTCCTGTGGAGGTGGTAAGTGGCAAGTTTAATGCAAGGGAACCAGATGATGTGACTCATGGGTGGGTATAGGGAGCGACTGCCTGTTCATGGATGTGATTAGGATGGCCCATGAGGAAGGTGATCATTGCGGCTCTTCTTTGATTAGATTAAACATGGCAAAGGCTAGAAGCTTCAGTTTTTTTTGGTGGTGGCAAAATGGCAAGGGCATGCATATTGGGAATGGAAAGAGTGTGAAGGGTCAGGGCTGGAGATGCTGACTTGGAAATGTGTATCAGGATGGTGAGACCAGCAGTGGGGCCAGGGGAATCTCAAAGCCAGGGAAACCAGAGGGACGAAGGGAAGCGAGGGAATGAGCTGTTGACAGAATGATTACAGGAGGCAGTGGTGTCCAGATCGTCGAGTGTTCTTCAGTGAAAATGTGGCCCTAGGGATGAAGGATGGTCTGTGGCTCCTGACACACTGAGCTCATTATCTGGACACCACAGGTGAAGGTAAGGTGTTTGTCTCAATTGACTTTGATGTCAAAACTGGGCCAATAATAGATTTTGTCCATCCACATTGTAGGTGAGGAAGGGATTCTGGGTAGTTATATTTGTACTGAGGACAATGTTTCCCAGTGAACAGGACAGGAAGTTTCTTTTTATTTCTAAATCTTGCCTGAAGTGATGTCTTTTGTTTTTCTCTCCCAAGTTCAGCACCACACCAAAATCTTGAAAAACCGTATGATACTCTGCAGATGTTTGCGCACATGTAGAAGGTGTCATGCAGTAAGAAACTGTTGCTTTGAAAAAATAACCAAAGTCTCCTTTCAACAGATAATGATTCCACATGAAAACCGAACCAGCGAGGCCATGTACAACAAAATGAACATTTCCCAACTGAGTGCTATGATTCCCCAGGTTGGTGAAAACAATCCAGGGGATTTTATTTTAACTGGTTAGTTTACCAGTGATTGCATTTCATCTGTGTGTAAATTTTTGCCTTGTCAAACCTACCACCAGTCTTTTTGATTATCATCATCTTTGTCCATTATCACATACACTATCCCTTTTCTGTGCATCAAGATGCTTTCTGCTCTTGGGACAGAAAACCTTTCCAAGGTGGCTTAAAAACTGACAGCTCATTTTGCTACATGACAGAAGTTCAGACATAGGCGGCTACTGGTGTTGGTTTAGCTGCTTAGCAATGTTGTCAAAGGCCCAGATTCTTTCTTTCCACTTTATTCTCTTTAGTGTATTGGCTTTTTGACTTCATGTTGGATGATTCAGGCATGCAAGGTGGCTACCACAGGTCCATATATCACATCTGCCATCAGGGCAGGAAGAAGGGGGAAGGGACAGTGATGGCCATATCTAATTCTTTTACCAGGAAAAACCAAAACCTTTCTAGACTATTTCCAGGTGGCTTCCTTTTATTTCTTATTGAGTAGAATTGGGGCATGTATGTGGCCATCCCTACCTACAGGAATGGCTGGGCCTGTGAGTAGCTGGTTTTTCATTTCGATAGTGGAAGCAAGCAAGGGAGGGACCAATTCAAACAGCATGATAGTGATGCTCTGAAGAGGGGATATGTTACATTTTGTTGCTGCTTGTTTCCCCTATGCAAGAAAGGTTGTGTCAGAAGGAAGACCGGTAATGTCCTGGGGCATTTGTGTCTTTGTGGATGTGACAGTGAGTAAGGGAGAGTACAGGGGGGAAAGGGAGGAGAGAAGGAGGAGAGAAAGGGAGCATAGAACGGAGAAGGGAGTAAGGAGGGGGAGAGAGGAAATGAAGGAGAGGAGAGTTGAGGAGGGAGGGGCAGAGAGTACTGGAGGGACCAGCAGAGTGAGTGTGGGTATTACTAGGTGAGTGTATGTGTTGTCCATATGCGGATGGTATAGAACACATGTTCCATTTATGATGCAAGTAGTAGGTCTGGGTGGCAGTGACTGGGCATTTATTTTCTAAATTTGAGCAGTTGCATTTTTAATTATTTGGTTTGAAATCACAAGCAATGGATTCTGTTAAACCGATGATATTTGCCTTGCTTGCTGCCTAGCAAGAGGTACTTCACTCTGTTTTTTTTTTCTCTTACTCCTCAGTTTGACTGGCTGGGTTATATCAAGAAGGTCATCGATACCAGACTCTACCCTGACCTGAAGGACATCGGCCCTTCAGAGAACGTGGTGGTTCGTGTCCCGCAGTACTTTAAGGATCTGTTTAGGATATTAGGCTCTGAGAGGAAGAAGTAAGAGTTTCCTTGTGTATTTTACTGTGACTTTTGTTTTTCCTTGTAAATGTTAAGGCCTTACCTCTCACATCCTTTGAAAACTGTTTTTAATGAAAGTTGCATCAAAAGAGTCTTGGGGGAAATCACGGTGACCTTTGTGACAAATTGGCCAAAACCATTGTCTGCTGTGATTTACTTGCTGCAATGACAGCACATACACAATGTTTTTGCTCCTTATTTCCAGTATTTCTCCATATTTTCTCTCTGAAAACCTAAATTATTTGTTAGTTTTGTGAACTAGTCATATAATAATGTTTTCTGAGACTTCCATATGAACATCTTCTCTCCCCCCAGTTAATTCTTAGTCTATTGCTGCTTTCGCCCCCTTGTTTCTTTTTAGCCAATAAGTCACTTTGTGGCAATAAACCAAGGTACCTATATTGAAAAGACGTAAGATCACTCTGAGAGCTGTAGAAAAATTGCACTGATGAAAGAATTTCAGGAACTGTCAGGTTTTTCTTTTTAGAAAGAATATTTTAGGCTCTACCTGGTTTGGCTCAGTGGATAGAGCATCGGCCTGCGGACTAAGGGGTCCCAGGTTCGATTCCAGTCAAGGGCATGTACCTTGGTTGCAGGCACATCCCCAGTTAGGGGGTGTGCAGGAGGCAGCTGATCGATGTTTCTCTCTCATCGATGTTTCTAACTCTCCCTCTCCCTTCCTCTCTGTAAAAAATCAATAAAATATATTAAAAAAAAGAATATATTAGGATTTGTTGAGGTGCTACTTTAGCACTACAAAATAAGGAAACCCAAAAAATGCCTGGGAAAGGTAATTTTACATCTTTATGAAGCCATTCAGATTTCACTACAGAAAATGAAGCACAGAAAGGTCAACTAGTTTACAAAGACAAAGGCAAATTGCCAGGTCAGGATAAAAAAATCATATTTTCTTATTTGGACTTATACAAGGCATGCTGCAAAGGGTTATTATTTTTTTAAAAAGCACCTGCCAAAGTCCTAGTAATAAAATTCAGCATCCATCCTCACCTACGGAAGGACACGTTTGAAGAGCTGTATTCTTTTTAAGATGATATATTCTTATGGAAAAAACAGTATGTGTTCCTTGAGGAAAGCATGCAGGACAGTAAACATACATAGAAGGGGGAGAAGAAACAATAAATTCACTTAAGATTCTACCAGAAATAAGCAGTGATTCTTTGAAAATTCTCTAAGCAAAAATTGAATCTAGAGGTAAATATTGTTTGGGTGGGGTAGAGCCTTGCTATTCAAACTGTGCTCCATGGACCAGTAATGCCAGCAGCCTGTGGTAAAAATATAGATTCCAAGGCCCCTCCTCCATAGAAGCCTATAAAGTAGATCTGGAGCGAGGCCCAGGAATCTGTATTTTAACAAGCAACTCAAGAAAGTCTTATGCTTACTTTTTTTGGAGAGGGGCGAATTCACTACATTAGAATAACTTATTCATATGTGCTTCCTAGCTCTGAAATACTATAAAATATGATCCAAATGATTTTCTACGCCTATGCCATTGAGTTATTGGGCACATTTTAAATTTTGGTGGTAATTTGCATTGAAAGGTGAAGTTTTCACCATGCTATATATGTATTCTTCAGACCTAGTGAGTTGGTTGTAAATTAGTAGGTGCTTTAGGAAATTAATTTTATTTCCATAAAAGCCTAACTTATAACAACATGATAGATTGGGCCTTGGCTTACTATATTAGAAAAATCATCTCTATGGTGATGATTATACTTTAGAACTGCAGGACTTGTTATAACAAAAGGGACCAAGAAGATCATGAGTAGAGGGAGATTTTAATCTGCTTCTTGTCAAAGTGATAACTTGATGTAAATGTAGTGAACAGCAGTGGAAGAATATATAGATAGAAAAGTTACCTACAGATAGTATATCCATGATATAAAATAACCTTTAGACATTATGAAACTTCAGTTTTAAAGACAAAAAACATCTTTCACATAATTTACGCCTCAAAAACCAATGCATCAAAAACAACTTGTGTCCTATATATTCTTATGAGATTTCAAGACACTTTACATATTGAAAAGATTAATACTTTATTTGCACATCACAGTGCATTTTTATACTGCTAATCATATTTGATCCTCACTTGTGTTGTATTCCAGTCCAGGAACTATCCCCTTGGGTTCTCATAGTTACATATTAGTCAGGACATGCCAATTGCTGCAATAAGTTCCTCTAAACTCTCATTGGCTTGCACAATAAAAATTATACTCTTGCCTCATGGAACGGTCCAATGTGGGTGTCCCTATAAGATGGCTTTCTTCCAAGTAGGGACTTGGGAATCCAGGCTCCTTCTTCTCGTGACTTCCCTTCTCTGGATGTTTGGAATCTTCTCCATTCAGCTGATAGGTGGGGAAAGAGAGAGGGTAGAAGATTGCAAGGAAGTTTTTGTGCTCAGGCCTGAAAGTGGTGCATATCCCTTCTACCCCTATTTCATTGGTCAGAACACAGTCATATAACCCATTTAACCGCAGAAGAAGCTGGGAAGTATAGTTAAGCTGTGTGCCCAGGAGCAAAATATCACATAAATGATCTAATTTTCTTGAAATGACATTTTCTTGTTTGTTCCACCCTGCCCCCAAATGATGTAGTGAGCACCTGATGGTGGGCACTCTTGTATAATAAGTCTTCACTTAATGTCATCCATAGGTTCTATGACTTTAAGTGAAATGATATATAATGAAACCAGTTTTACCATAGGCTGATTTAAAAAAATATTTTTATTGATGTCAGAGAGGAAGGGAGAGGGAGAGAGAGATAGAAACATCAATGATGAGAGAGAGTCATTGATTGGTTGCCTCCTGCATGCCCCCTACTGGGGATCGAGCCCACAACCTGGGAAAGTGCCCTTGACCGGAATTGAATTCAGGACCCTTCAGTCTGCAGGCCGATGCTCTATATCTACTGAGCCAAACCAGGTAGGGCCACCATAGGCTAATTGATATAAATAAGAGTTCACTTCCTATAGCATCTCATCAAGGTTGTAACAAGACAATGTTATTTGAGGATCTGCTGTAATTGCTTTTGTAACTTCAAGGCCTAACACAGTGCTTTTCATAGTAGATACTTCATAAAAATTTCTAGAAATTAACCAGATGCCCCAATCACCACTATCCAGGAGGTGATATGTAAGCAGAACCGCAGAGAATAAGGAGGAGCTTTCCAGGTAGAGGAGAGTAGAAAAGGGATGTTGCATATGTCCAGTGATGAAACTAGCATGTTGCCTTCGAAGCAAGAGTCCAGAGAGCTGGGGAGGCTTTGAGGGGTTGGTTTGGGCTCAGGATGTATAAAGGAAAGGTTTTTAACATCCTCTCACCTCTTCCCTGGAGATACCTTTGAAGAAACAGACAATCCTTCTCAAGTTGGATGTCTCTGCTGTGCCTCTGTTCTGAGAATCTGCCAGTGAAAATCACACATGGGTCATGATGATGTTAACCACCATTATGACTAACAGTTACCTTAAAATAACTATATTGTTTCCGTTTTACAGATGAGGAAGCTGAGGTTAAGTGACCTGCCTAAGGACACACCTATTAGAGGGAGCAGAGCTGAGATTCTAAACTCGGTGACCCTCATTTCTATGTCCTGTCTATTTCCCATACATGTCTCTGTATGGAAATGAGACACCTTTCAGACACTTCCCTGTTAGTTTGGAGACAGACAACTCTCCTTTAATTTTCAGGATTACCAAACCATCTTGGGTTGGTATTAGCTGCTCACTTCTTGACTGCTTCTTATCCTCTTATATCATGTCTCCTGCCAGCCTGGTGAGAATAGGCCTCTCTTTCTGACTGAATGGCTTTGGGGACAGAGGCACTGACTCTGAAAGTTGGTTCAAAACTAGAGCAGTGAGATCCCCCAGAGGTTGTTCTAGAAATTGTGTTGGCCCTTGAGGGACAAGGAAGTAGGTGGCCAGGGCAGGGCCATTTGAGGGCTTGACATGGAGGCTGCCTATAGGGAAACGGAGTTGGAGTTCAAGGTGGAAAGGGGGCGTGAAGATGCAGTGATGTGCTGGGTCCCTCAAGTAACGGGCATGTCTTTCCAACTCCATGTGGAGTGAGATCACATGCATAGTTTGAAATCAACTCTAATTTTTGATGTGTCTGAGCATTAGGTGGCAGTAATTCAGTCATTATAGTCAGATCTGTTCCTGGCTTGGGAATAGTTACAACCTGGAAATCGGCAAATGCTACAGATCAAGTTTTTCTTGGCAAGCCAGTTGTCTAGCACAGTGGTCGGCAAACTCATTAGTCAACAGAGCCAAATATCAACAGTACAACGATTGAAATTTCTTTTAAGAGCCAAATTTTTTAAACTTACACTATATAGGTAGGTACATTGTTATTAACTTAATTAGGGTACTCCTAAGGCTTAGGAAGAGCCACACTCAAGGGGCCAAAGAGCTGCACGTGGCTCACGAGCCGCAGTTTGCCGACCAGGGGTCTAGCACATCACTGGGTGATGGGTGCTGCAGACTTCCATCCCCTTCTGCCTCCCTTCAGTTCTTCCACCCACTCCTGACTTGAGGCTGTCTTAGATTCCATCTTATTTGGTCTGAGGAGCAAGAATGGGAGGGGGAGGCTGAGGAAAGATGAGGTCAGAGAAATTTGACTTGGGATCTTCTGTGTGTGTGTGTGTGTGCGTGCGCAACCCGTACTTTAGCAGCCTGGCCTAAAGCAGACTCTGGGAGCTTTTGCCAAGCCTCTGTGATCTTTTCTGTCCTCAATTTTATTTTCATATAAAGCATGCACGGTGTACATTAAAGTGAGATGACTCTTGTTGCACAGGTGCTCCTAGAGCAGCGGTTCTCAATCTGCGGGTCGCGACCCCTTTGGCGGTCAAATGACCCTTTCACAGGGGTCGCCTAAGACCATCCTGCATATCAGATATTTACATTACGATTCATAACAGTAGCAACATTACAGTTATGAAGTAGCAATAAAAATAATTTTATG